GTGAGTCTGATGGGCTTCTCTTTGTGGGTAACCTGAGCTTTCTCTCTGGCTGTGCTTAGCATTTTCTCCTTCATTTCAACCCTGGTGAATCTGACGATTATATGCCTTGGGGTTGCTCTTCTTGAGGAATATCTCTGTAGTGTTCTCTGTATTTCCTGGACTTGGATATTGGCCTGCCTTGCTAGGTTGGGGAAGTTTTCCTGGATAATATCCTGAAGAGTATTTTCCAACTTGGATTCATTCTCTTTGTCACATTCAGGTACACCTATCAAACGTAGATTAGGTCTTTTCACATAGTTCCATATTTCTTGGAGACTTTATTCATTTCTTTTTACGCTTTTTTCTCTAATCATGCCTTCTCGTTTTATTTCATTGAGTTGATCCTCGACCTGTGATATCTTTTCTTCTGCTTGGTCAGTTTGGCTGTTGAAACTTGTGCATGCTTTCCGAAGTTCTTGTGTTGTGTTTTTCTGCTCCATCAATTTACTTATATTCCTCTCTAAGTTGTCCATTCTCATTAGCAGTTCATCGAATCTTTTTTCAAGGTTCTTAGTTTCTTTGCATTGGGTTAGAACATGTTCTTTTAGCTCACAGAAGTTTCTCATTACCCACCTTCTGAAGCCTGATTCTGTCATTTCATCACACTCATTCTCCATCCAGCCTTGTTCACTTGCTGGTGAGGAGTTGTGATTTTTTTGTAGGAGGAGAGGTTTTCTGGTTTCGGGTGTTTTCCTCCTTTTGCGCTGGTTTCTTTTCATCTTTGTGGATTTATCCACCTGTTGTCTTTGTAGTTGCTGATTTTCAGATTGGGTCTTTAAGTGGACGTCCAGTTTGTTGATGATGAAATTGTTTTTGTTTCTAAGTTTTCCTTCTATCAGTCTGGCCCCTCTGCTGTAGGACTGCTGAGGTCCACTCCAGGCCCTGCTTGCCTGGGGATCACCTGCACCAGCTGCAGAACACTATGGGTTGCTACCAGTTTCTTCTTCTACTATCTTTGTCCCAGAATGATGCCTGCCAAATGTCAGTTTGATCAGTCTTTTGTGAGGTGACTCTTTGGATATATGGTCAGGGAGCTGCTTGAGGAGATAGTCTGTCCTTTATAGGAGCTCAAGTGCTGAGCTGTGAGTGCCATTGTTCATTTAGAGCTGCTGGGCAGATACATTTAAGTCTGCTGCAGCAGAACTCATAAACCCTTTTTTTTTCCCCAGGTGCTCTGTCCCAGGGAATTAGGGCTTTATTTATGAGTTTCCGTTGTGCTTCTGCCTTTTTTTTTCACATCTGCCCTGCCCAGCAAGGAGGCAGCCTAGTCACTGTTTGCCTGCAGAAGTTTTGCTTAGCTGCTGTGGGCTCTGACCTGCTGCCTTGTGAACTTCCCTGCAGTCCTGTTTATATGGGTGTGGTTAGAACTGCCTCGGCAATGGTGGCCCACCTATGTAATGGCAGGTTGCCTCTGCAGTAGCAGGCTGCCTTTGTAGGGGTAGAGTGCCTTCGTAATGGCGGATGCCCCTCTCCCACAGATCTGGACTTTCCCATGTTCAGCTGTGCTTGCCATGAAACTCTCAAACCAGAGTGCTTCCAATTGCTGTTGTTGTTGTTGTTGTTTTTTTTTTGGTTGGGGTGGGACCCACGGAGCCTGATCTCCTGGCTCCGTGCCTCAGAGCCTTTTTTTTTTTTTTAATTTAACGGTTGACTCTCTCCCAGTTGTTTTAGTTGCCTGCTGAAAAGGCGCCTGGATCTGTGTGATTTCCCGTGTGGTGACCCACTGCACCAGCTGAAATAAAAGCGCTGAGGTTTGTGGTGCTATTTTTCCTGGGAATCTTTTGGCCTGGCTTTCTATTTTGGTCCCCTCTTTAATCAGATTAATGGGCAACTCTGCCTTCCCGGAGCTCCAATCGCCAGCTTACAAGGGCAACCAGACCAGTGTATTTTTTATGAAGAACTGCCGCGCCGGGGCACCTGCAAAACAGCTGCAGCCGTGCTGGTGACCCTTGAGGCTCCTCTGCCTGTGAATCTCCTGGTCTGTGGGCAATAAAGATCTGTCTGGAAATGCGGCGTCCACTCATTCTCTGCGCTTTCACTGGGAGCTGCAATCTTGAGCTGCTCTTAAACGGCCATCTTGGATCTTCCTCTGCAGTTAATTTGTTTTTTCTTGCTTTGTTGCTCTTGTTAGATTCTCCAGTAAAATGTTGAATAAAATTGATGAGAGTGGATGTCCTCCTCTTTTTCCTGATTTTAGGGTGAAAGCATTCAGTCTTTCACCAGTAAGTATGTTAGCCGTAGATTTTTCACAGGTATCCCCTATCAGGTTGAGGGAGTTCCATTCTATTTCTTGTTTCTTGGGAGTTTTGTTTGTTTCTTTCTTTTTTTGTTGGGTAGTGGGGGGAAGGAGTGGATGTCAATTTTGGTCATATGGTTTTCTGCATCTGTTGAAAGGATCAATTTTTAAAACGTTTGCTAATATGGTCAGTTATATTAATTGATTTTCAAATGTTAAACCAGTGCTGTATTTCTGGAACAAGCCCCATTTGATCATGATGTACACTCCTTTTTATATGATTTGATTTTCTGACAGTTTCTTTAGAATATGTGTATCTATGTTCATAAGTGAAGTTGGTTTGTAGTCTTATATTCCTGTAATGTTTCTGGTTTTGCTATCAGAGTAATACTGACTTCATAGGATGCATTGGGAAGTACATTCTCCTCTTCAGTTTTCTGGAAGAGTTTGTGTTGAATTGATAATATTTCTCCCTTAAATGTTTTTGGTAAATTTCACCAGTGAAGCCATCTGAGACTGGAGTTTTCTTTATGGAAAGATTTTTAATTATAAATTAAATAGATTTGGGGCTATTCAAGTTATCTATCATTTATTAATTTAGCTTTGGTGGTTTGTGTCTTTGAAAAATTTGCTTCATCTAAGTTGTTGAAATTGTCGGGCTAAAGTTGTTCATAATATCACCCATATCATTCTTTTAACATCTGTAAAACTTACAGTGGTGTGACCTTTTTTATTCTTGATATTTTTAAGTTATGTCTTCTCTATTTTTCTTCCTGGTCAGTGTAACTAGAGGATCAATGTAGAGGTCAGTTTTATTGACCTTCTCAAAGAATCCAGCTTTTGGTTTTACTGATTTTTTCTCTATCATTTTTTGTTTGTTTGTTTTGTTTTGTTTTTTTGAGATAGTCTCAAATTAAGATAGATCTTAATTTTGGTTTATGTGGACAGTCCATGCTACAAATTATCATCTAATTACTGCTTTAGTGATAATATGCAATTTTTGATATGTCATGCTTTCATTTTTAATACAGTTCAAAATACTTTCCAATTTAACTTTTGATTCCTTTTTAAACTTGTGGATTATTTAGATGTATGTTGCTTATTTTCCAAATATTTGCAGATTTTCCAGAGAAAAATCTTTTGTTGACTTTTAATTTTATTTCATTGTAGTCAAAGATCATACTTTGTATGTCTTTAATTCTTTTAAATATATTGAGACTTGTTCTAGGGCCCAGAATATTGTTTTTCTTGGTAAATATTTCATGTGCACTTGAGAGGAATGTACATTTTGCTGGTGTTTGGTTGAGTGCATTAATGTTAGTCACATCAAATTGATTTAGTGTTAAGTGTGCTGTATCCATGCTGATTTTCTATTTGTTCTATCAGTTACTGAAAGAGGATATTGAAATGTTTAACTATAATTGTGGATTTTTTCATTTCTCCTTGCAATTCTACCAGCTTTTGCTTCTTATATTTTGAAATTTTATTGGATGCATAATCATTTAGAGTTATGTCCTTATGATAAACTGATTCCTTTACTGTCTTGAAATAACCTTTTATTGCCAATAATATTCTTTGCTCTGAAACTCACTTTATCTCATATTAATATAGCCACTTCAGCTTCTTTTGATTACCTTCACTTTAGTGTATATTATCCCATCCTTTTCTTTCAATCAGTTTTGTTTTTATATTTAAAGTGTATTTATTGGCCGGGAATGGTGGCTCATGCCTGTAAGTTCAGCACTTTGGAAGGCCGAGGCAGGTGGATCACTTGTCAGGAGTTAGAGACCAGCCTGGCCAACATGGTGAAATCCCATCTCTACTAAAAATACCAAAATTAGCTGGGCATTGTGGCAGGTGCCTGTGATTCCAGCTACTCAGGAGGCTGAGGCTGGAGAATCACTTGAACCTGGGAGGTGGAGGTTGCAGTAAGCTGAGATCGTACCACTGCCCTCCAGCCTAGGTGACAAGAGCAAGACTCCATCTCAAAAAAGTGTTTCCTGTAGGTGTCATATATTTAAAAGTTGTGCTTTGTTTTGTTTTCAGTCTTACTATCTCTGCCTTTTAATTGGTCATTTATATTTAGCATCGTTATTGATATGGTTAGATTTAAATTTAGCATCTTGTTAACTGTCTTCTGTTTGTCCCGTTTGTTATTTTTCCTTTTTTTATGCTTTTTTGGGATTAATTGAATTCTTATGATTACATTTATCTCCCTTTTTGCTTATTAGCTAGAACATATATTTATTTGTTGCGTAAAGTCTATAGTGCACATATTTAACTTGTCATATTCCACCTTTAAGACATATAATAGAATATAACACACAGCTACTCAATTTTTTATTTTATTCTGTATTATATTTCATTTTATGGGTTTACCGAAGTGTGTTTAGCCCATTCATTATGATGGAATTTAGGCTGATTTCATATTTTACTCTTATAAACAATGCTGGATGAACATCCTTGTATATATTTCTTTACTTTTGCATATATATCCCTAAGATGAATTCACAGACGTGCAGTTGCTCAGTTAGGTATTTTTCTGGTGTTCAAAATCTCTTTGACAGTTTACAACTCACCTTGCTTTATGAATACTAACTAATATTTTAATGATACTAATATTTTTAAAATAAGTTCCAAACTCACTGTGGCATAATTAACCATAGGTAATGTCATTTCTTTGATTAGAGTATTTCATTTTTGAATTGTTTTTTTTGTTTTTCAGCTTTACAGGCAATAATTGCTTTAGAGTATGTATTAACAGATGAAGAATCAGAAGATAATGATGTAATTGCAGAGAGAGGTTCATCTATCATGCTTCTAAGTTTAGCTGCCCAGTTTGCTCTAGAGGTAATTCATACGTATTCATCTAGTAGATTTTTACCCCCTTTTTTTTTTGAAAGACAATTAATAGAATCATTATCAGTTAGAGAAGAGACCTTTACTGTTTGCTTTGCCTCATATTTTTATGTCAAACTTGGTTGCAGAACTGCTTTATTCTCATTTCATTATAATACAGACTAAAGTAAATGAAACAGTGAGTGAGGTAACAGAGTTGTGCTCAAAACAACATAAACAAACATAGCAAAACATTAATTTTTAAAAGAAACTCCATGTTCAAAATGCCATACCATGGCAATAAATAACTATCTGTATGGAAACTTATCTTTCTCATCAATTTGAACAAAATGGTTTAAATTTCTTTTTATCCTTTGAGTTCAGAACCATAAAATAATATTAGTTTAGAAGTAATAAATACTTATATCCCTGTTTGTTACAGAATTCTGGTTTTATTAGTATATTGAATTAGGAAAAGCGTAGTAGCACCTGTGGCGCTCTTAGACTAGGTTTGAATACTGGCTCTGCCATTTAATAGGTACTTCTTCAAATCTTAATTTCATCCTTTGCAAAATAAAGATAATACCTATCTCTAGGATTGTTATAAAAATGGATTAAGGTGGCTGAAAATGTGACTTATAAACTATTATGTTTATCTTCTTTTTCAAACTACTTTAAATAGGAAAACGATCTTCCCGATCAGAACTATAGTTCCATAATTCTTCCACTAGCTCTCTTCAGCTTTCTACATCAAATGTAAATATATAAACCTTCCTTTAAAAAGATAATTGCCTTTGGGTTTCCTTCTTTCATCTTTTCCCCCATTCTGCACAAACACAGCCTATATCTGCATCTGCCAAATAGTTTTCTTCCTTCAGGAGTTCTATTACCCTACTCATTGACATCAAAACACATATCATTCAAACTGTTTTTAGCAACTACTTTGGGCAATATATTGGGCTAGATGCTAGAAATATGTTCCTCCAGGGTCTCACAAGTCAATTTGAGTAGACAAGCCATGCATTAGGAAAGTAAAGCTATAGAATATAGAATTCTATGTAAGTATATAGAATAAAGACAAAATAATATATATGTTAAAAATTATTGAAATTCAGAGTGGGAAGAGAGAGAATGAGAGCTGGAGTTTATTTGGGAAGTCTCTACAGTAAAAGGAAACCTTAAGTTTGGCTTTGGAAAGGGTAGCATTTATATAAGTAAGAACGTTTTTTAAAAGGAAGGGATGATATAAGCAAGAGATGGAGAAAGGAACGTTATTGGTTTGAGAGACACAGTATTTGGCTAAAGTCATGGAGGACTTATTTCCATCATTCCAGATATTTTGCTTGATGTAATAGTGGCTTTTTTTTCTTTTCTTTTTTCTCTCTCTTTTTTTTTTTTTTTTTTTTTTTTTTTTTGTTTGTTTGTTTCAGACAAAATCTCGCTCTGTCACCCAGGCTTGAGTGCAGTGTTGTAATTTCGGCTCACTGTAACCTCTGCCTCCCAGGTTTAAGTGATTCTTGTGCTTCAGCCTCCCAAGTAGCTGGGATTACAAGTGTGTGCCACATGCCTGGCTATTTTTTGTATTTTTAGTAGAGATAGGGTTTCACCATATTGGCCAGACTGGTCTGGAACTCCTGGCCTTGAATGATTTGCCTGTCTCAGCCTCCCAAAGTGTTGGAATTACAGGTGTGAGCCACTGCACCGGCCATGACTTTTATTATGATGATGATGCTATAGGGGAGGAGTATAAAATAAAGTAGAAGAAATAGCTGTGACAAGATTATATATACATTTTATTCTCTAAGCAATAAGAAAATATTGATGGTAATTTATGTAAAAGTAGTGCTTCAGGAAAATAATTTGGGTTGTGCATGGGGAAATGAATGGGGAGAAGTTGTATGTAGGACTGAATGGGAGGCTGTGATAATAATTCAGTTTTAAAATAATGACAGTCGAGACAAGGGGAGTGACTGTGGGGTATTAAGCAGGTAAAACACTGCTTTCTTTTCTTTTAAAATAAGCTACCTTATCTTTAAATCCCTTTACAGAATTCATTGACTCACCTCCCAAGAGGTAATGTGGATATTTTAGGTTCTCAAAACTGAAGCAGTCAGAAAGAGAACTTCCACAGATCCCTACTAGCACCTCTACTCACATACTAGGAATCACACCACATAGTCTGCCTTCTCAACTGCTACCATATATGAGCTATCATCTTCCTTCCTAAAGCCAGTCTCTAAACTTACATACTTGTTTCTATCACCTCTTGCCTTTTTCTCACTCTTTGTCAACTTTTTATTCCCTTACTGGTTTATTCCCATCTGCATATGAACATGCTCATTTATCCCATATGAAACAAATAAAAACCTCTTGACCTTCCTTCTCTCACCAACTACTCTCCAGTTTCTCTTCTTCCCTTTGTAGTTAAACTCCTAAAGAGTTGTCTGTATTTACTGCCTCCAATTCTCTCTTGAACTTACTCTAATCAGGCTTTTGCCCTACTACTCTAACAAAACTGCTTTTGTCAAGGTCACCAATGACCTCTGTATTGTAAATTGCAGTGATTAATTCTCAGTCCTCATTGTATTTGACCTACCAGCAACATTCAATGCAGTTTATCACCCTTTCCTCCTTGAAACACAGTTGGCTTCCAGGACACCACATTATCCTTACTTTCATCCTACCTCACAAGTCACTTTTTCTTTCTCCTTTGCTAGTTCCTCTTTTCTCCCAGCCATTCTTAGTCTCAAATGATGAGCTCAGGAGAGAAGGTATTAGGGAGTTGAGAAGAACGGATAAAGTATTAACTATTCATCCAGGAAAGTAAGAAAGTGAATGACTACGGAACTGTGATATGCTTGATGATGTTTTAAAACAAAACAAGTGGTTGTATGTATTTTTTTTTTTTGGCCACATTCATTTGAATGGATGTAAGCACCAAAATCAGTAGAAAGTTGGACTTAATCAGACTTGGGGTTTTGCCAGATGAATACAAAAGAAGGGCAGGAAAATAAAAAAATAAGAGTGGTTATAATTAGTCCCCATGGAATTTAAACTGGGTATGCAGTAGAACCTCAAAGGGATGAGGGACAGTGAAAAACTGGTAGCATCAGTGGGTTTGGGTCTTACTGCAGTAGAAGGATTGCTGGAGTCAGGATAACAGAGGGATCAAGTTGGAGGTAAGAGGTGGTAGACAGAAAGTAGAATATGTGAAAGTAAGAGCTAGGATGGAGAACTAGGGGAAGGGAGTGAGACGCCTAGGGCACAATACTTAAGGAGGAGCCTATTCTGTGGGTGGTACAAGTAAAGGCTTGGTACTTGTACAACATTGAGAGCCTCCTTAAATTTTGCACCCTCGGTGCTTCACTCATTTCCCTGTCTCACCCTAGTCCTAGCCCTGACAGAGTATGAAAGGGTTACAATTGTTTAATAATGACAGTCTAGTGAATGACTGTGGAAGTGAATGGCTAAGGTAATTGTTAGAGTAAAATTTCAGAAACTCAGAGACTAGAATATTGGGAGGGTCCTCTACCAATATATTGAAAATGCTGAAAATTTGCCAGGCATGTGGCTCACACCTGTAATCCCAGCCCTTTGGGAGGCTGAGGCAGGCAGATCACCTGAGGTCAGGAGTTCAAGACCAGCCTGGCCAACATGGTGAAACTGCCTCTCTACTAAAAATACAAAAATTAGCTGGGCATAGTGGTGGGGACCTGTAATCCCAGCTACTCTGGAGATTGAGGCAGGAGAATTGCTTGAACCCAGGAGGCAGAGGTTGCAGTGAGCCGAAATTGCACCATTTCACTCTAGCCTGGGTGACAAAAGCAAGACTCTGTCTTAAAAAAAAAAAGAGAGAGAGAGAGAGAAAGAAAGAAAGAAAATGCCAAAAATTAAGACGGGCAGTTTTTGGAAAAAAATAACTGAGCAATGGGTAAGTCACCAAAAAAATGAAAAGACATGCCCTGGGAGCTAGTAGGCCACAGCAAAAATGAAGGGTAGTAGGTGATATAGTCTGGTTATAGGAAATTCAAAGTTGGGGATTTTAGGCAATAAAATGGGAGAATAATTTTAAAATGGCAATAAAGAGCAAGAAAGACACCTACTCCATCTCCAGGCCTAAGGGTAAGCTAGTGAGAGCAAAAACAGCCACCACTCTTAAGAGGGCTTCAGTGGAAGCAGCATCCTTGGCAGAAACCTAGATTTAATTAGAGCAAGAATGTGGAGGGTCCTAAGTTGAGGGAAGAGGTTGCTGGTAGAGGAGATTTTGCTGAGAGTGGACTGAGTTTCAGAGAGCATAGTGGAAGAGTTAGAGGAGTTTGGGAGAGATAGAAAAAGAGGACAGAAGATGAGACATATGGAGACTTTTGGGAATAGAGTGCTGGAAAAGACCTGACAATCTGGGGGTCTTTTGTTTACTGCTAATAAATGGAAACTAAAGAACACAATAAGATTAGTCCTAGTGGGTTAAGGGTAGTATTGGCAAGGCTTTAGGTGTTTGAATGGGTTTCTGGGGCTAATACAAGTGTGTTCTGTTTTTGTCAGTGAGTTGTATCTTCATTTTGCCATCTTGCAGTAGCTTTTTTGAGAATACAAAATGAACATGTTTAGATATTTTTCTTATCTTTAATAAACAGGAATATAGATAACATTTTGCAGTATCACTTTGAGATGTAATTTAACATATTTGTTCTTTTTAGAATGGACAACAAATTGTGGCAGAAAAAGCTTTGGAATATTTGGCTCAACGTTCAGAAGACCAAGAACAAGTTATTATAGCCGCAAAGTAAGTAACCTACATCCTGTGGAAGAGAAAGGATTTCCTCTGCTCATCTTACTCTTGGTCAATAAACTTTGCCAAAATAGTGCTATTGAGATCAAGAGAACTTTTACATAAAAAAGTGAGGCAGAGGAGGGTGAGGTTGGAATTTGATAAATACTTAATGGTATGACTGAGGAAATGCCACTGTAAGAAATGACAAACCAGCAGGACTCTAGAGTGGTTCTCCTGTTGGTCAATTGCACTTGAGGCCACATTTCCAAAGGGAAATGGAGTCACATAAGTAAGAGTCACAGGAATCTTGAGTATTTGCATGCCTTCAGTAAGGTAAATATTTAAAAATCATCCAGGACAGACAGTATTTTTTAAAGCTTTTTAGGTTTTAAAACTTTACCAGCTACCTTATTTTGTCAGCTTGTCATCATGCTGCTAGATCCCTTCAAAGAATAGTGATCTTAGTTTGAGTCCCAAAGGACAGTTACAGTTTCTTTACAAAAAAAAAAACATATATATAAAAACTGATTTACCATACCTGATCTTCTAGCAGGTGTTTTTGAGCAATGATATAAACTGTGGAACCATTTAAGAATTTGTTATGGCCGGGCGCGGTGGCTCACACCTGTAATCCCAGCACTTTGGGAGGCAGAGGTGAGCAGATCACGAGGTCAAGAGACTGAGACCATCCTGGCCAACATAGTGAAACCCTGTCCCTACTAAAATACAAAAATTAGCTGGGCGTGGTGGCACGCACCTTTTGTCCCAGCTACTCAGGATGCTGAGGTAGGAGAATTGCTTGAAGCTGGGAGGTGGAAGTTGCAGTGAGCCGAGATCACGCTACTGCACTCCAGTCTGGTGCCTGACGAAACAGCAAGACTCTGTCTCAAAAAAAAAAAAAAAAAAAAAAAAGAATTTGTTATAAGCAACACTTTTGTTTTAAAATTATTTTATTAAATTTCTCTTTCAAAATTATTTTATTAAATTTCTCTTTCAAAATTATAAAATTGGAATGTTTTCATTGCAATCATTAAAACAATAAAATACATATACATAAAATAAGATTAATCCCCCCTTTACCCTCTCTTCTCCCTCCCAGAGTAATCAAGGTTAATAACTTGGTATATATTTAGTCACACGTTTCTTCCTAACCTAAGAATCGCTTTCTATATTACTTTATCATACAGATGTTTGATTCATCTTGTTTTTCCAAAAATTGCTGAAATGCCGGAATCTGAAGATAAGTGAGTTATTTCAACAAAAATAATGTATTCACCATTAGACAAATTATAGTAACTTACAATATAAACTGTATATTAAGAGATACTTAGTGTAGTGTGTAAAATCAACACAGGCTTTGGGGTCAGTCTTCCTGGGTTTATATCCTGGCTCTGCTACTTACTAGATGTGTAACCTTGGGCAAATATCTTAACTTTTCTGAGTTTCAGTTTCCCCGTCTGTAAAGTGGGAAAAATAATAATACTTACGTCTTTGGGTTGCTGTGATGACTCAATGAGTAAAACTTCTAAAAGGTGAAAGACTTAGGTGATCTGCAGAGAAACCAGCGTATAAGTTAATACATGTAAAACATTTAGAGTGTCAGGAACTTAATAAGCCCTCAATAATGTTATCTGTGGTAGAATTATGATATTGTATCTGTTGCCCCTTTCTTAACAGTTGACTCAAATATAGACGTATCTCTTACTTTCCCACAGAACATATAACCTGGATGGCTTGTTGGTTATGATTCTATATCAGGTCAGCAGGTAGTATTCAAATATATTGCCGTGCATAAGACCAAATATATTTCTCTGCATTTCTTGGCATCAGATATTAAAAGTTAACAACTGATAAAACTTAAAAATTAGTTGAAGACTTTGGTCACTAATTTTTCACTCACAAAACTCACTACCTCCTGATTATTTGAGAGAAAACTCTGCTCAGGGTGTTGATTAGGGATAACTTTCAGAGAAGTATCACCCATCTCTGCATTCTCTGCTTGGACAAGAACTCTGTAATAGTTCCCTCTACTTTACTTTTGCAACTGGAGGTAATATATTTTTTCAGATAAATTCTTTTGGAAATATCTTTGACTGAGATAACATAGGACAGATGACTTATAACTGTCTTTTTCATAATCCAAATTTTATCCAACGATTGCTTATCTCTTACACATACTGAAGTGTGTATGGTTGAAATAATGTAATATCTGGAATTTGCTTCAAAATAATACTGGAGAGGAAGAAGTGGGTGGAGGTATCAAGGAGATAAGATTGATGAGTTAATAATTATTGAAGCTGTGTGATGGGTACATGGGGATTCATTATGCTTGTCTGTTAGCATTTGGACATCTTTGAAGTTTTCAACAATATGAAGTTTTTTTAAAAAAAGGACTAAACCATCATAGCTACTAGATTGTAAGAGTGCCTTGAGGGCTAGGACTATATTTGTATTTATCTTTGTATCACTGAAACCTAGGGCAGTATCTGACACACAATTGCCACTCAATTTATTTAAATGGCTGAATATTAGTTATTTATCATATCTTCAGCACTGGACTTAAAGGTGCTTCATATTCCTCATAATTGTGGCATGCAGTCAAACCACACACATTAAAACCAGTTGAGGAACAGGGTAAGGGAGGGAATCCTGTTTGAATTAAGAGAAATTACAGAACATTTTTAAAAATATACCTTCATTGTTTTTAAGTAAATGTAGTAATAGAGAACATCGTCTAGCAATGTTTTCATGTAGAAGTTAGAACCTGATTTAAGAAATAGATTAGACTAACTTGTAAAAAAAATTAAGTGCCAAATTCAATGAGAGGACTCAAGAGAATTGAATTATAGGTTCAGCTATTTCAATAACTTTTGGTTTACCATAGGCAATGGCAACTTATTTAACTTCTAGAAGCTTTATTTTCCTCATCTGTAAAATTTTAAAAGCTGGACTGCATAATTTTTAAAAGTCCCTTCTGTTCCAAAATTCCTGTGGTTATAGATGAGCAGTATCTACCTAGGTACTGACAACTCATGTGCTAAATTTTTTTAAAAGCAGTCTTTCCTCTTAAATAGATTATACATTCCTTTGTATGTCTTCACTCTTATTTGTACTGTATATTTTTTTTACTGGACCATTCCTAGATTATTTGATATGGAGTCACCGAATTAAATAGTGAAGAAATCAACTTTAGCTCAGCTGAGATTCATATAAGTAAAATTTACTGTAAGAAGTTACTTTATATAAACTAGACTTCTAAGATTTATCACTGAAAAATCAGCTACTTTTCCTGACCACAGTCTTTATTATCTATGTTAGACCCCTCCTGATAAGACCAGTCTTACAGTATGTTCTACCCTTCTTACTGTAAACTTCCTTAGTTGAGTTTGCCAATACTTCCTCATTCATTCCTTTGTTAAAGCAAAATGAGCTGTTTTCTTCTGGTTAGTTTTTACCTCACTTTGTTTTCTAAGTTTCATATTTCATTTTTTAGCTAAGTTTTAGGTTCACAGAAAAGCTAACAGGGAGGTACAGAGATTCCCATATATCCCCTCTCCCCACCACATGCATAGCCTCTTCCATCCCCCACCAGAGTGGCACAATTATTACAATTGATGAAGCTAAATTGACATACATAATCACCTGATGTCCATAATTTATATTAGGATTCAATCTTGATGTTGTACAATCTATGGGTTTGGACAAAGGTATAATGAGATGTATATATCATTACAATATCAATATCATATGGAGTATTTTTACTGCCTTAAAATTTCTCTGTGCTCCACCTATTCATCCCTTCCTACTGTTTCCATAGTTTTGTCTTTTTCAGAATGTCATGTAGTTGGAATCATACAATATATAGCCTTTTCACATCGGCTTCTTTCACTTAGTAATATGCATTTAAGGTTTCTCTGTGTATTTTTGTGTCTTGATAGCACTGAATGATATTGTATTGTATGAATATATCACATTTTATTTATTCTTTCACCTATTGAAGGGCATCTTGATTTCTTTCAAGTTTTGGCAGTTGTGAATGAAGTTTCTGTAAATATTCATTTGCAGGTTTTTGTGTGACTATAAGTTTTTAGCTTCTTTGGCAAGTATTAATAACCAAGCAGGATGATTGCTAGGTCATATGGTAAGACTATGTATGTTTGGTTTCTGAGAAACTGGTAGACTGTCTTCCAAATTCCTGTGCTCTTTTGCATTCCTTCCTGCCAGCAACGAATAAGAGTCCTGTTGCTGTGTTTCTTCACCAGCATTTGGTGTTGTCAGTGTTTGTGATTTTGGCCATTCTGATAGGTATCCAGTGGTATCTCATTGTTTTATTTTGGATTTTTCTGATGACATATGATTTGGAGCATCTTTTTACATGTGTATTTGTCATCCTGTATCTTCTTTGGTAAGGTTTCTGTTAAGGTCTTTGGCCCATTCTTTTCTCCTAAGGGTGTTAGGACCCTTGTGCCAGGAACCTCAGACTAAATACACTTTTCTAATTATACCACAGTGTAAAGATCCCTGGTGTTTGACCACAGATCCCAAATATAACAAAAGGATCACAATGGTTAAAAGATACTGGCGGATTACTAAAGTCCCATTCAGCCATTAGTAATTTGTCCAGTTCATCATTACATCATGAAATTGTCTCCCAGGGTAAGGCCAGTGAGGTTTCCAGGCTTCTGTTTGGTCAGATTCCAAAAGCAGGAGTGGTCTCCACAATACATGGCTTCAGCTTTTCAGTATCTGGTATAATTGAGCTAAGAGACAATATCATCTTTTGCTCTGAAACTCTTGAGGTACTGATGTAATATTGGATTTCCCTTACTACATAACTCATTTGTTCATTCCTTATTCTCATCTACTATTCCTCCTTTTTTCTATTTATAACCAAACTTTTCCACATTTGAAAGAACATTAGGTGCTGGTCCAGATTACAGAAAATACTACTCTAGCAAATGCCTCCCCCTCAGTCCACTCCCATTTATATAAGGTAGGGTTGTATAGATACAGAACTAGTGCACCGTCTTGACCATTAAGCAATGCAGCTGCATTTACTCTTAACCCAACTTTTGCTAGATAGGGTAAAGACACATCCTGCCCACATGAGGCCCTTAGGAATTCTGACATAAAGATTTTAAAATATAGTTAGGTTTCTTGCTTAGGAATCAGCTCTGTTTCCAACACTTGTAGTTGCAGCCATGGTCTTGCTTATGTTTCATCAGGTAGGAAAAATAAAGTTGAGCTGATATGAGAAAGAAAGAAAGAAAAAAGAAATATTATCATCATACCAGTGTCATACCCCCTTGGGAAGAATTGCAGTCATACTAGCATCCTTCCCCAACTCCTCTTCCTCAGACTCACCAGAAAAACAGAGGAGTATATCTAGTGGGGACACTTCCTTAGCCCCACCCCCCATATTGAATACGAGCTTGTGAAGGCATGTAAGCCAGTCCTTCGTCCCTATGTCTGCCCCCATTTTAGACAACCAATTTTTCAATTGCCTGTTCCTCTTCCCTTTCTAACTATTATTCTAAGGAGGATATGTCTCTTTCCATTGTTGGACATTATGGGTTGTAAAGTGTTTCTCGGTCTGAAAAACTGTGACTCAGCAGCCTAAATTGGTGCAGTATATTCTGTTCCAGTTCTTTTATTACATTCTGAGCATTTTCATCAACCACTGTGTAAGCAAAGGCCAATCCAGAGTTATTGTCTATTGCTGATGAAACTCATACCCTGGGGCTACCAGCATCAGTCTGACTTGCCAGCTGTGTTCAGGGCCTTCCACCTGAGGAATCTGCCACATAGCCATCTTAAGTCTTTGTCTCTTTTGTTGGCAAACAGAACAGTTATTGGCATTTTGTGCTTCAGAGGGTACAAGAGGAATATGTCTAGGTTCAACCTATCTCTGTATTGCTGAGTTTTTAAATGCCCACTAATTTCACGGACCCAGGGGACCACCTAGGGAGCACACAGGGATATTTCCTTGTTGATTGTAATCGCCTTCCAAATCAGGAAGGGTATTCTTTTGATGGATATCAACATGTCCTACATTAATCCACCCCTCAAATTTCCCTAGTGATTTTCCGTCGAGCCATACATCATACAGACATCCTGTTAATGGGCCAGTTTTCCATTTCCCTTCTTTAAGACTATATGGCCATGTCATTGGCCACTGCCAGTGAGTCAGTCAAAACTCAAACACAGGGGCTTTTACCACTGTTCAGTTATTCGTTCACTGCTG